TGTACAGTCCAATGAGATTTTTCTTGTTATAATTGGTCTATTCTATCAATTGGAGTTTTCTCAATAAAATCTTGGTATCATCTCTCAAACTCTATTTACTTTACTTGCACTTTATTTTTGATTTGTAGTTTAATTTTAATTTTATTTTGGTAAAATTAAAATAAATAAAAATTAAATAAAATAGCAAGTTAAATCTATTCACCATTCTCTAATTTAATTATTCATAATATATTCCACAACCATTTCGCTACGCACAAACACTGAACCAATAAGCATGTGGGTGATTTAAAACATGTTTGCTGAACGCCTTCCTTAAGTCAATACATTATTAGTCAAGTCTACAAATATATATATGTCTAAGTCACCGACTCACCGACCAAAACCATAATCTGTTTGGTAGCGTACAGAATGAAAGATAACATCTGAAGAAAGATGATCCGAACAAGTCAATATCAAAGAGATTATTTGGAAAACTTGTTTCACATAGAAATAAAGGATACCATTTCGAAAGCACAGGTTAAAAAACATAAAACAATCTTTTTGTGTCTGTATGATAAATGAAGAATAAAGATTATTTGAAAATTTTCTTGTTTTAAAGTCTGATGCTTCTGAGACCAATTGTTTGAAATATCCTTCCTTTTGGATTCGATACATCTGAGGATGAGTGGCTCGAAATCATTTGCCTTTTTATTGATCTTCAAAATCGGCCTTCATTTGGTTCATGCAGGAAAGACTGAATGAAAAATGGTTTCTCTGTTAAGACTTTGGTTTCTCCTAAATTGATGGCTGGAGGTGCAACGGGTCTTCAAACCAAAAGGGTGGTTAGCACAAAAAATACTTGAGGAATAACAATAAGTAATTCAAAAATTATATATTCGACTATTTTATGTCACTAAGAGCGTCTCCAAAGGTCTTTTAAAAGTTCTGTCAAATTCAAAATATAGTAGGCTTCTTTTCCTATATACACCTTCATAACATATGAGATGCTGAGACTTTTTTGAATTTTTGTGCAGACATAGGCTGGAAAGTCACATGGAAAAGCAAAAATTAATGCATTGTGTCAAAAAATAGTATTTCGAATGAAATGCACCATTGGAACAGAATTATAAAAATATAACATTTTGGCACTGTAACTCCTCTTAACATACAGCTTTACTATAGAGAAATAGCATTTTCCATTGGAGATGCTCTAAGAGAAACTTCACTGGCATTACTAAAATTTGGCCACTACCATGTTAGCATTTTTCCAAGAGCCACATAAGCCTTTCTAAGAGTCAGGTCAATGTTTTGGACTCTCTAAATTTTAACTATCGCATGTACTCTAATGGCGGGTTATTACTCTCAGAAAATAATAATGTTTTAATATATTTTTTTTATTTTTTTCCAAAGGGCTATATTTAAAACAGTTATATTAAAATATAAAAAAAAATTAACAATGTAATATCCATTATGAAATAAAAGAAATTAAACAACTATTTTTTAAAAAAATCAAAAATAATTTTTGGTGCCTAATGGCTCTTTAATCTCAGTATGCTTATGAAAAAAAAAAAAAAAAAAAAAAAAAAAAAAAAACTGATTTTTGGCATAGTTTTAGGCCAAACAGGCTAAAGCTTTTTGAACAGTGTTGGGCCTAAAAAAAAAAAAAAGTATAAGCTGGCCCGCATGGCAGGCCCGCAGTTGCCAAATTCAACAACCCATATAGAGATTATGGATTTTTGACCCAAATTGACCCATTGGAGTGGGTTGGGCTTGCCTTTTAAGCCCTAGTTGAAAATACTCTGAAGGATAATGTCATTAAATATGATAATAACGATATTATTTTAAAAATAAATTTAATTGGATCTGGCCACTCTCGAACTCTGCATTAACAGCCCTATCAACAACGGTGAATCAAAATATGGTGTGAAACCAAAACATTTATAATGACAAAATAGTAAATAAAATATCCAAAAAAACAATATTATTCACTAAAACAAGTAAACTAATTAAATAATTTAAACCAGCCTTCTCACAAGAAGTGATGCATCATCATGGTTCAAAAACACTGCTACAAAAGATTGGGCTTGTGACAAGCACGTGCCTTTTGAACAATTAATAAAACTTGTAGCCAAAATGGCCAATTGGAAACTCTCAATGGTCTAAAGTTGGAAACATAGAAAGAGAAATTAATATTAAATAGTTTAAGTCCATTTAACACCTGCTGAATTAGTTAAATTGAGATCTTTATTGGAATACTTTATAATATATTAATACACTCTTATATAAGCATGAATCCAAAAAATTAGGGAGAGGCAATAATGATTTTTCTAGTAATTTTAGAGGAACAATACTAATATTTTATGAGTATATAATTGAAAAAACCAATTACTAAAAAATAGTTTAGAGGCAATTTTCGCGTGGCAATACATTAAATATGTCCTTGCTTTTGTGAGTCATTTTCTTAATTAAATAGTCTGAATTGAATTAATCCCACCACATATATATGCACCTCTAATAATTTCTGAGAAAGCAAAAGAGAAGTTGTTCTCTCGGAGATTTTGTCTGAGCTCTAAAATTTGATTGTATTTTTCATCGATTATAACACCAAGAATTGAAAAGGACTTGTTTTTTTATACTTGAAGAAGTTGAAGTTTGGTGGCATATCACTTTCCATACTCTGTGATCCCACTTGCACTGCAAGTCTGTTTTGTTTTTACTTCTTACTTTCTTCATTTTTTGCCGCCTCTTTTTTCAAAATAAAAATTATAAAAAAATGTGTTACTAGATACAATTATTGATACTACTGTTATTGTTTGGACATGACAATTTTCATAGAGCAAACGCAGTATAGAAAATTTTGTGAAGGTTAGTGTATTTCTGACCAATTAATTTACTTTAGTGCAATTATTCTTATTTGTTTTTTTTCAGTTCTTATTTAATAAAAAAGAAAAAGAAAAACTTTTACCTGCTATAATCATCATTGCTATTGGGATAAAATAAATAAAAAAACACCCTTAATATTTATATTTTAGACAAATAACACCCTATATCCTTTCTGTTGGATATATAAGTCTGTTAACTTTGAAAAAAATGAATAAATAAGAGTTTATGTTACACATATAAGTCCGCTAAGTTTGGAAAATGAGTAAAGAATGGGTTAAAGTCACCGTTAAGATATAAAATTTTCGAAAACACCCTTATCTCTTCCGATAATGCTCTTATATACGTTGGACATATCAAGTCGTTGCCGCTGTTCCATTACCGGCGGTAATGCCAATAAAGAAGAAACCCAAAAAAATAAAAAAAATAAAAGGCTTTGATCGAGTTTAATCATTTCACATTTAATTAGCCACTTTAGTTTTTCAACATTCATGTCGTTGTTTGTCCAAAATTGAATGTTAAGGACTTTTTAAAAGGCATTTATGTAATTTTAAAATAATGTTGATGTGGTTTCAGGCTGTGATCGAGTCTGGTTGCACGATACAATAATCAATTGATCATTCTTGTACAAAGAAGCAAAGATGGGATTTAGTGAAGGTTATGTTTCAGGGTTTCAATGTGAATTCAATCGATTCAAATAGTAAAACACCTCTTCACATCGCAGCAATTCTTGGCAACATCAAATTGCTTCTATTTTTACTTTCAGTAGGAGGAGACACAAAAATTGCAGACTGTAATTGGAAACACTCATTTCCATTGTTCTGCTTCAAATTGTCACATTGAAACAAGTGGTAGCGCGTGGTTTTGAAGAGAGCGAAAGGATAGAGAAACACTTAAATCATCAGTTAAGGCATTTTAGAATTTTTTTTTTTTTTTAAAATTATCGAAATTGATTATCAAGGACTAATCTTCTTCAAATGTTTGATAATGTAAGGATTTATATGTACAAAATAAAATGAGTATAACCGGAACTGAAATTTTATTTCCAAAGAAATAAATTGGGTGAAAAAAATGAGTATTCTGTATTTTTCTAAATGGATTTGGATCAAGAAAAAAAAACTTATATGATTTTCTCTTCTTGTTTGACTAAAGTAAATAAAAATAATTAAATGTGAGTTGTTGGAGGCTTTTTTATAATTTAAAAAAAAATTATGTATACAAAAGTAAAATAAGACAAAAGTTAATTGCTTGTCCCCACGCAACCCTACGTGGTTCTGCCACTGTTGTAATGGTTGTGCTTAATGCTAAATAATTAATTTTCTAATGAGCTTCTGCTTTACACGAATATCCATTTAAATATTAATATTAATTAGTGCTACTTAGCATCTTTTCCTTAAATTATTAAAAGACAATGACTTGGAATGCAATTTAAATGATAAGCTCAGGCAACCAATTAAATACAATACAAATTTTGGCCAGTAACATGCTTTGGAATTGCAAGATGTATTGGCCTCATAAATGTCAATTTTACCCCTATAATATCTTGAGATATTTAATTATGAATTTGAAACAAGAAACAAAATCATTCAAGTTGACTGTTCAATTATTGTTCTATACAATAATAAAATAAGAGAAGTGATAGATCTTCTGACTTTAATTGCCGACTACTTTTCCGAATATAACGTGGTTGGGAATGAGTCGAAGAGAAAGAAATGTTTACAAGAATTTTTTTAAGAGTTCTAATGGGATCCAACCACGTTGTATTCGAAGGAAGAGTCGACAATTAACGCCGAAAGATTTATCATTTTTTATAAAATAATTCATTTAATTTTTAAACTTTGCTAATTCCACTAATTAAATTGAATAAAAACTTGAGTAATTAATAAAGTAGAGTATGAGAAATTGAATAGAAACTCGGGTTTTAAAATCGAATAGGAGAGAGCAATCACGAGAAATTGAATAGATATTCGAACAATAAAGTCAACTAAGAGGAGTGGTCACTTGTACAAAATTAAGTCCAGCCTAATCTTATGTTCTTAAAATCTCAAAACGATCAAAACGTAGAAGCTAATTCATTTCCTATTTACATAAAAATGGATTTTCTTTTCCCAGCTGAAGCATTATCTACAAGACAACCTTAATAAACAAGAGATCATAAATCATAAAGTCTAGTCACAAATCCATATACATATTATGGCAATAAAATCCCCCTCTTATATATATATATATATATATATATATATTATATATATATGTAGAGAGAGAGAGAGAGAGAGGGTACAGAGCATCAAATTAGTACAGAATAATCAAAATCACCATGATTGCTCTGAGCCCATTTTTCACTATCACATTACCAATCATTTTGATGATAAGGTGTATATCACCATCATGGTACCTAATGAATGAAAATGATGATGATGATGATGATGATGAAAATGTTATTCAAGAAAACCAGTTTTGGTTAAGACAGCATTCCTCACCCTACTGAGATCTCTTCCTTTGAGAGTCCTCCCAGCTCCTTCACACACAGAGAAAGAGGAAATCTGACTCCTTGCAAGCTTCTTGGCAATCCACTCATGTGGGGGCATCATATTACCATCATAACCATCATCATCATCATCATCATCACCACTCTCCCAGCTATCTTTTATGACATTACCATCATCATCATCATGATCATGGTTATCATCATCATGCCATGGGGCATCCTTGGAGGCTTTTTTTGAGTTGTTGGCGCCATAAATCTTTGACCAGTCTGGTATATGGACTGGTGCTGATTGCTGGACCATTTTGGGTTGTTCTTGATTGATGGCTCTTGGTATCATTTTGGCAGCAGTTGGGAGGCGCCTAGGAGCAATACTAGTAGAGGAGGATGTACCAATCTGGGAATTGAAATGCTTTCTTTCCTTCCAAACAGCCCAAACATCTTCTTCTTGGAATTCCTCATTCCTCATTGATTGCCTGTACAAATCATACCTTCCCTCCATTGATTGATTATTCCCTTCAAAACCCATAAATCAAATCAGTTAGAAAGGCCATGTATTGGGTCAAATTCAAATATATATATATATATATATATATATATGTGTGTGTGTGTGTGTGTGTGTATGTATATGTATATGTATATGTATATGTATATGTAGAGAGAGATCTACCTTTGTTTGGACTGAAAAGATTCAAGAGTTCAGTTTTCCTAGATGAATCCTGAAATGGGTATCTGCAAGATATGAAGTCGGAAATTGAAGAGAGAAGTACCCAAAACTCTTACATATATATGTATATGAAATTGTTTTGGCTTAGAGTGATATTGGTGTGGGGGTGTTTGAAAAACTTATAAAGCTAGCTCACACAAAGAGGACACTAGTGAGCAACCAAACAAGACTAAGACCTGATTTTTGTCCTGGACATCCCCTATATATGTCATTGTTGTCCATCTATTTTGCCTTTTGTCCCTAAAAAAATCCTTTTTTCATAGGGAAAGGTCAGTAACAGAGTAATATCTATTTTACACTACATATATATATGCAGAGAGAGATGAAGAACTGATTCAGGTACAAGGAATGAGAGATGCTAAGATTTTAGAATGGTGTGATTGGAGTTGTGATCTTCTGAATTTATAATCACTTAGCATAGTAAATTGCATTTTCCTTAAATAGTAAAGCAAAGGAATCTAATTAGAATCAACACTTTTCTTAGTTGTTTCCTAAAATCAATTTTTAATCATAAACCAATCAACTTTTGATTAGCTGAAAAGTTCTTTTTTTAGCTGCCAACTGAAGTCGGCCGAAGTGCAAAGCACGTGTAATTTTTTAAAAATCCATAATTTCATATTATTATTTGGGATTATTACATATAAATTGATTTAGTGGTCCATATTTACCCATACATTGAGTCAAAGTTAATAATTTCTTTAAAATGTGTTTGACTTAAAAGCTGAGGTGGCACATAAAAAAATACTGTTTCATATTTCTGTTGCCTAAAATACCATTCTTCCTATTTTATGTCTTGCCTAAAATGTCCTTTTCTACAATCTGCAAACCCAAATGAAGAAGATACAGTGGGCGGCGCACTATGCCGACTGCAGCTGAAGAAGCCGGTCGGTGGATCACGGACGGAGGATGATCTATCCGGCGAGCATGGTGGCGAGGACCACTGCGGAGAGAACGGGTCCGGTCGTGAGAGGAAGGCTTCGACCGTGAGAGGAACGGCGGCTGGCAATACAAAGCCGGCGATGGGAATAGCTGGCTATATAAAAATGTGAGTTTAGCCATGATATCCGGTGACAGAACCAAAGGAAGAAGGATAAAAGTCTTATGAGAAGATTACTGAACTTCTTCATCGCGTCTGTTCCAGTTCTGCAGCAACCCATGCTCGTCGAAAATTTACTACTTCGACCAATTCTTGTGGTGGTAATTGTGATTATTAGTTGTGGCGGTGCCTGGTTCTTTGGCCTCGTATGAACTCCCTCTCTCTCTAGAAAATTTTACAGACCAAGACACATAAATAAGTGGATTTTGGGATTATTTACATACATACATAATTGACACCCAAAATGTGTATATCCGAGGCGGTGGTTCTGAATTTCCAAACATATTTATGAATCATAAATTGTAAAAACTAAGAACTGGGGATTTTGTTTTGTTTGTTTATAGAGATGAAAAATAAGAACTGGGTTTGTGTGACTTAGCAATTATTTGTCTTGCTGTGCTTTTTATGGATTCAATTTGAGCAAAATCAATTGAATCAAACATGGTTTATGATTTGAAAAAAAAAAATTCAAAAAGAAATTCAAAAAGATATATATATATATATACGCACGCATCTTCTTCCAACTCTATTATACAGTAACTGAAAAAAAAAAAAAATTCAAAAAGAAATTAAAAAAGAAACCCATTTACAGTCAAACCAACCATCTCATTAGCCGACCGTAAGCCACTGCTCGTCGTCACCACACCTCTGGCCCAAGCCGCCATCACAGCCAACCCTTCATCACTGCCATCCGAGCCCATCGCCGGTTCTGTATTATCGGCCGCCGTTCCTCTCACGGCCGAAGCCTTCCTCTCACGACTGGACCCGTTCTCTCCGCAGCCGTCCTCGCCACCATGCTCGCCGGACAGATCATCCTCCATCCGTGATCCATCGACCGGCTTCATCCGCTGCAGTCGGCATAGTGTGCCGCCCCCTGTATCTTCTTCATTTGGGTTTGCAGATTTAGAAAAGGGCATTTTAGGCAACACATAAAATAGGAAGGAGGGTATTTTAGGCAACAGAAATATGAAACACTATTTTTTCATGTGCCACCTCAGCTTTTGGGTCAAACACATTTTAGAGAAATTATTGACTTTGACTTAATGTATGGGTAAATATGGACCACTAAACCTATTTATATGTAATAATCCCTTATTATTTTAAGTTAAACCTTATCATCTTAGTAATTTATATATAATCCATAATTTCATATTATTATTTTAAGTTAAACATTATCAATATCTTTACTTTGGTTCTTACGAAATGTACGGTTCAAGTTCATCCCACAATTTTTATTTTTATGGTAGTAGAAAACTACTCTTCTATTTTTAATTTTAGTTCAATGAATGGGTTAACATGGACGGATGAATCGAATGGATTATTATTATTTTTATATATGGAAAGTTAAAACGTACATACATTTTCCAATATTGCTCTTAATAAAGTTTAAATACTCAGCATATCTTTTGAAGAGGTGAGATCGTATGCTTTAGACTAATGTCATAGATGATAAATTGAAGGTTTTAGAATAACAATTGAATAATATATTAATAAAAGTTCTGAATATTAAATATGATTTGGTGAATAATAATCACTCTATGTTATGATCTTGTAAAGAGGACAATTCTTGGAATGATGGAGGGAGAGGGTCGAAGTGAAACGACAAATGGCTCAAACTCGGTGAATTATGACACTAAGATCATTTTGTCACTTACAATATCCTATCGTGTATTTAAGTAGTCTGTAAAAATTATACCCACCGTTTGATTAAAATTGTTCTTGAAGGTGGCCCAATGCGGTAAGTTCGCTGCGGGACTTTGCCAACTACACATACCTTTGGGGAGGACCAGAAGGTCTCTATCATGGGTCGATAAATGGACGGTGGGCTTATGCGCCAGTACAATAATAAGATTGTTCCATTATGAATAAGTGACATATTTGAAATACAAAAATTTATAATTAATTTAAATGAAGAGAAACTTGACACAATAATAAAATTACTCTATTATCTCTTGATCACGTATTTAAAATTATAAATTTCTTTGCATACGGAGGTAAAATTTTTTAATGGCCGGAGGTGATCCATCGAATTGAATAAATGAATTATCTAAATCGCTGGTCTTAAATTTTATTGGACGAGTTTCAAAATAGAAAGTTCCAAAACCAAACTGCAGAAATATTTTAAGGACCTGAATCTAATTAATTATGAAATGACCACAATTCAAAGTTGCTATGTAGTTATCATCATCAATTATAAGTATTCCATTATAATTTAAATATATAATAAATATAATTAAAATTTGACTTGGTAAGTATTACTTTCATTCTATTTTACATGTTTGTTTTTGGAATCAGTCGACATGTAAAATGGGACCGAACGAATATTACACATGTACAGTGGGTAGCAATTGTTAAATCTTATTAGATTCACACTGAGATTGCTGTGGGACCCACTTCTTTTAATTGATGAGCAATATTCCTCTTCAAATTCTTAAACCTTCGTAGACGTATTTATAAACCGGAAGAATAATTTTCACATAGTGAAAGTGATCCTATGTGTAAGAAGGTAGAAGGTGGTGGTTGTGTGTCAAATATTATGATGGAGTTGATGACCCACGTGCAAGCATTTGGATAGCCGTCATTCAATGTATTTGCCTATTTCTCGCCTAATGCTGACAGCCCGACAGACAAAAGACAGAGGTAATACAAAGCATGAAAATCAAGCCAATCAGAAGTTGAGAAACCCCAACTATTTCAACCATTCATTACTTCATGAAAAAGAAGAGAATCTTAACAAGCTATGTATTGGGAATTTTCTATTGAGTGTAATGGGTAGATTCATTTACTCCGGTTGATTCCTCCCCTTTTACTGTGTCTCTTTTGTTTGCAATCAAAGACACAACTGTGGCGGCCGTCGAGCATACGACGTGGGTCTCACACCCAATTGGATCACTTGCAGTCCAGTCCTGTGTCCCATTTGTTAATGTGATGTTGATTTAATGGCATTGCTTTTTCAATCAATGAAGAAATTCTGATCCTCTTAGAGCATGTACAAATGGCATCTTTAAGATTAGGAATCTTATTATAGATATATGAAGAAGAGAGAGATTTAAACAGAGAGTAAACAATAATGAGACAGAGAATAGTAAAGTTGGAAAGTTTTCTTTTATTTACTTGGCAAGTATATCTCACAAACACGAGCTCACGGGAAATAGATATATATATATATATATCTCACAAACACGAGCTCACGGGAAATAGATATATATATATATATATATATATATATATATATATATATATAATTTTAAAAGTGAACTTATCCTATAAGCAAATTAAGAAGCTTGTTCTAAAAGTTAGATAACGAGCTTCTCTTGTATGTTAATATTTGAGATAAATATGCGTGGACCCCACTTTTATATATATATATATATATATATATATATATACTTTTTTTTGGCATTCATTTGTATAAAAGAATTTTAGTGAGATGTGCTTGGTCCTGTCATTTTTAATGTGCTCTTCTTTTATCTGTGTAATACATACCGCATTATCTTCATATAATACTGTTGGACTATCTTTCTTTTATACTACTTCATGAATTATGAGTATCTCAGAATGATTTGAAGAAGTTGCAATCATTATATGTTTCATAGATTTCCACGATATAGCAGTGCCACCACAGGTAAATACATATCCTGTTTGTAAATGAGCTTTACGTGGGTCAGAGAGATAGCCAACGTCTGCATATCCAATTAATTGAGAATTTAGTTTGTAGACACTAAAATTTCATAGGCTTTTGTTTTGACAAATTGACGTATCAAATTTGGATACCATGTTTAATTAAATTATTTAGTTGGCCAAAGCTTGGTCAACTTAAATTATTTAATTAGCCCAGCCCATGTGATTAAATAAAAATATAATTATTCTTAATAAAATATAATTAGAATAATTATTTTTATAGATAATTATCATAATATAACCGGTTCGGCCCAATTATAATTATGTCTTTATCAAGAAAGGACACATGTCATCATCCTGTTAATCCAAGATGCCTATAAATAGAGGCATGAAGGAATGAGGAAGGGGTACAAAAATTGAGAATTCTAGAAATCCAAAATTCTAGAGAGAAATACAGAAGCTCTGCTAACATTCATCCCCAACACTCAAACCTAAAGGCGAAGAGTAAGAAACACATCAAATAGTGTCGTTCTTCATCAAAATTCTACGGTGATTAATAACAAGCACATCAAATCGTACCGTTCTTCATCAAAGTTTCACGGTAATT